TTTGTTGTTCAACGTTTAGAGAAGTTTTATTTGCATGGAGACCAGATATTGTTTCGCCTACAGCTGCTGCAAACCGGACATGTTTTAGTGAACCTCGGAGCCTAAATATTGTTTTTGAAAAAAACCCGTCTAACAACCATATATATTTGTGTATATATACAATATACAATTTCCGATTTATCTGCACCCTTTGAAATAATTATATTTTTCAAGCATTTGTGTTGTTTAGATAAATTCCCAGCAGAGTGCAGCAATAAACATAAAACAAACAGGAAAAAACATCCCATGTGTTGCATAATAATATATTTAAAATCATATATCTGCCAGGGACACCAGTAGAACTGTCGTCTAAGGCATTGAAATTCGCCATCATCCTATTGAAATTCGCCATCATCCTATTGAAATTTGCCATCATCCTATGATCGAGGGTTCGAATCCCCTGTCAGTCTGTTTATGCTTTTTTGTTTCGTCATCACCAAAACCATTGTCGTGGGCTATCGTGGGTAAACGTGTGAGAGCTGTGACGCTAAGCAGAATCCACTGTACCAAATTTAACACAAACATAAATGGAGAGCACTACACATTTATTTCTAGAAGCAATTATGTCAATGGAATCGTGAAACATCAAAATGATTATAAAACTATTTCACAACAGTATAATATTCAGAAAACAATCGTTCGACAATAAAAATGTTGCAAATGTGACATCAAAATAAACAAAAATCAAATTAAGATACAGAGGTGTGAGTGACGGTCGCCTAAAGCCACAGTCAGCAACATCCATATCCCAGCTGTATCTAGGCAACCTGTAAATAATCGGGGAGGAAACCAAGTGGCTTATTGTTACTGAAAAAGCAATATCGCAGGTTGTCACCACGTAATCTTTATTTTAGTTGGGTTTTACATAACTCTAATCGGCAAACTCTTTAAATAATCACACAAAATCAAGCATTTATTGTACAATTGCGAATATATCACAAGCATATGTTTATGAATCACAATTAATTAGTAATGATACCAGGTGTTCACGAAAAGGTGAGCGTATCCTGGCCCACCGGTGGCAACCGTCACAAACACTTGGTGCCTGTGACCTGTTGGGTGCATTAAACAAGCAGGCAATAACGTTGCCCGTTATGATTAAATGTCTCGTTATGATTTAACGTTGTAATGACTTACTTGTTGACACCTCGTCGGAAACCACAAATACTATGAAGCTATAATTTGAAGAGAATTTTCCTGACGATGGGGTTTCTAAAACAAAAAACAGATCCAATTTTAATTATGGTGACCAAGGCATCCATATGGAAACGTCTGTGTGGAATACCGACACACTGATTGGAATCATATATGAAATATACTCAACAACAAAAGTTCCTGTGACACCAATATCTTAGTGTATTTTTCAAACGAGTAAAGTTTGTTTTTCAATATTGTAGTACATGCATTTCACTACCCAAGAAATGGTATAAAAACATGTCCGTTAACGGGATTCCATATGCATTGTTTAGCATCGTGCTGACAACAACCACTCAGAAAAACAACAAAATTACGCAATTATTCAATATTACAAAATGCCACGCCTGTCCGAAAATGAGCGTCTGCGAGCCACTGGTATGCTTGAAGCAGGATCGAGTCAACGTGATGTTGCAAGACAATTTAACGTCCACAGAAACACCATTTGTTGTTTATGGCAACGTTGGCCACAGACGAATGCAGTCAGAGACCATCCTCGGAGTGGCAGGCCACGCGTAACCAGTAATTGACAAGACAACTGGATTCGAACAACACACCGACGAAATCGATTCCAGCCAGCAACAGTGACTGCAAGAAGCATCCCTGGCCTTCGACGAATATCTTCACAAACCGTACGTCATCGCCTCAGATGTGTAAGGATTGTCGCCAGAAGACCCGCTAGACGTCCCATTTTGACAGAAAACCACCGTCAAGCACGTCTACAGTGGTGCAGACGGCGTCTGCGCTGGACGGCCATGCAGTGGGGACAAGTTTATTCACTGACGAGTCTCGTTTTCACCTCAGCCACAGCGATTGACGGATTCGAGTGTACCGACGTCGAAGTGAACGTTACGTCAATCATTGTGTCATGGAAGAAGATCGGTTCGGGGGCAGCAGCGTTATGGTATGGGGTGGGATTACAGCAAGACAGAGGACCCGTTTGATAGTGGTAGAGGGAAATCTCAAAGGGCGGCGCTACCGCGAAATCACGCATTTTCTGAAGTCAGTATGGCAAATTAAACCATTTCAAGCACTTACAGGATTCTTGTATCTGTTGCAAACCGAAATTGTTTCAGATTTGGTAAAAAACATAACTTTGCCTTAAATCTTATTCAATGTCACAGGAATTTTTGTTGTTCAATATATATCAAAGCTACTTTTTTTCTTTTTCAGATCGGGATCAATGTTTCTGATGTTCGACGTGGATACAGTCAATGGAGGGCTGAAACTGAACCCAGACTTTGCAGTCGACTATAGGCTGGGACCTGCCGGACCAGTGTTCGCCCACGATATCAGGCTGTAAATCCTACCAGTCGTCCTTGATATTATCAGATGCGCTATACTGGGCCAGACACACAGATTTAGCTATTTACACAGGCCTAGTTATGTGCATGTTTCTGTCAATAAATCCTCGGACAATATAGGATTGATTATAATACGATGAAGTAACAAGGTTATGTTGAAACTGATAAAGATTGTTAACAAAAACTTAACATATTCATATCACAACCAAGGGTATCCTGGTCCTACATGTACAAATATTGAGGATGTCAAACGCAATAACAGAAACGTTTTCTGTGCATTGAATAACATAATGGTAAAAAAAGAAATATTTTTCGTATATTTTGAAGGACACCCTACTTCGATATTGCCAAACGCATGCTTTGTGCACGCGTATCCTCTTAATTCGACCATTTATAGCATTTTCTCAAGCAATGGTAGAATTATCTGCAGGCCCATTGCCAATGACAAGAGGAAAATGAAGGTTTTCTGTTTCATTTAACTTATTGGTCCTTCTGTCAGTGGATTTGGGTCAGTGGAGTTATTGACAGTCTTTACTCACAAACGTTTATCTTGTTAAATGATGTCCGCAGCATTCAAAAATCGAACTACAGTAAACATATGACATTGGTTATATATTATTGGTCCATTTTCGATTAAATGGTCAGGTCATTTTGACACCAGTTGCATTTATGTAATTACTTGACATATCAATATCATAACTCAAAAACATGTCCCTGACTACAAAATGGCTGACATATACCACGATGCAAAGTCTCCCATGTTTCAGACTCACGTAAGCAGGAGAAACATTAATTTTGTATAAAACAGGAGGTTATTCAAGTCAACTTCACGCTCCGACAAATGTCACCTCAAAGAAGACTACTCCCCCTTTTACAAGCTAAAGGGCAAGCACTTGTCAATACAACACAGCTACAAACAATTATGACATTCCTTTTCATGTTGTGGTAAATTGTTTCTTCGCCAAAGTGAAGCATTCCATCTTTCTTGACATGACATCAATAAATGAGTGCTTTCCAATATCGACTGTGCCAATGAACAATGTTGCTTAATCAAGTACAATCCATGCCATTGTAAATCGCTTCTCGACTGAAGAAAGTCAATGGTGCATCACATCGTTAAAAGAGTGCTTATACCCGTCGGAAAACAACAAAAGCCCATCATAAAGTTCCAAGGGTACAAAGTACATATTCTCTATGACCCAATGAATTACAAAGTACATGTAGATGTGCAGCTGACTGAGATTCCTTTCATGGTACATGGCAATGTGAGGAATAGTCCTTTTTTGTTAATTAGCAAGGACACGAATGACTAAAACTCATCAACGTGCAAACTGAACTGGTTTGACTGTTTTACATGTTGAAATTTTTAAAAATATTCTGTTGTTATCAAGGCGTGTTTTACAGTACTGTTTTACAGACTAAGAGTTGAGTGAGTAAGTTTTGTTAGGTACAAACAAGAACATTGATGTACGAAAAGGCGACTATGCTTGTCGTAAGAGGCGTCTAACGGAATCGGGTGGTCAGGCTCGCTGACTTGGTTGATGCATGTCATCATATCCCAATTTTGTGGATCGATGCTCATGATGTCAATCACTGGATTTTCTGGTCCAAACACGATTATTTACAGACCTCCGTCATATCGCTGGATTAATGCCGAGTGCGGCGTTAAACAACAAACAAACAAACAAACGTGTATTCGATACCGAAAACTTCACAAAAGATACATTCGCGAACGTCTGTTGTGAAGACATCATGGTTTAATACTGCGACCCTTCTCAACATGATATCGTTGTTTTACATGGCTCGCTGTCTAAAGTCAGAACTATATGGAATTTTTGACATCGCTCATTCACTCTTCGCACGTTTCTATTTCATGTGTTTATTGTGTTTAGTTTGAACAAAATCTGGAAATATAATAATGCTGTAATTTTCATTGGCATGTGTAACATCATTATTTAGATCTTGTTTGTATCTGGTGTATCTTGACCCATACATGTCTATCCAGATATTAGCAAAATCATTGCAAATTAAAGAAACATTGTCAAACTCTTACTACCTCTTTGTAATCGTTCGAGTTTGTATTCAGTTCGATTTTTTTCAATATATGCCAATACTTCAAATTAGTACCTTTCATCTCCACAGAAAGCTTACCTGAACAATATCTTAATGTGACTCGTGCGTCACCGTGTTCTACTAATGTTTGAGGCAAGCAATTTGGAGACAGATTCCCAAAAACGAAAAATTTCAAAGAGGCAGAACCTCGTGGCCAAAAAAACGAAAAGGATACTTGCACTGACATTGATGTTCCCTCGAACCACAAACTATTTTATGCATGAAAATCGATCTAAGCATTTATACAAAATAGGTTCATTTATCAAGGTATTTTAATGGGCGTAAATAGTCCTTATTGCAATTTCGAACCGTTTTGGTGTTGAAATTGCGCTTTATTTCTTTAATTATCGTTTACGAGCATGAATATCCCACTCTACGAATCTCCATGTTTGAGCGTTTGATGTTGGCAGTCCAACCTGAACTTGACACGGTGCTTTGACTTGCTCCAATCTTACAGTTGTTGACGAGCAGTGCCTTGTTGAAGCTGAAGGCTGTACATCCGGGGCTCTGCAGACACCAGATGCTGCACGTGGTTGCCGAGGGAACCGTCACCGTATCAGTTGGAGTCGCCAGGGTGTGGCCATGCACGACCTTGTAGGCAGATCCTGCAATGACGTCTGTCTATAAACATTTGTTCATATATACTCACTTTCCAATTAAACGCGAATCTCATTAAAATCATATCAAAGTTCTTGCGAGCACTAAGATCTTATTTTAATGAGATTGGAGAAACGCACACCCTACAGTACAAAATGTCCGAAAACGAAATATAATGGGTATGCCTTTTCGGTTACGGACATTTCACACAAGGGTGTGCGTTTCTTTGGGCAGTGGAGGAGTTATGGAACGTTTTGAGCATACGTTATAACGCTCATGTGTGACAAGTACTCTCCAATATATGTAGGAGATAATGAAATGTCATGATCCGTATGCAGGAGAAAGATCAGCTTTCAAAAGTGACTGCCAGAGAGAGAATGCTTTAACGTTAATCGTGATTTTTGGTGTCTGGTGGCGTCCATACAAACGGCATACGAACGTCAAGTTGGGGCAACTTGACACATTTGAAGGTGTGTGTGTTATGGTATATGGCGGTTTCATTATGACTGCCACACCGCCACTGCATATTTGCAACAGAAGGGACAGTGGACAGTGTAATAGAGACACCAGACTGGCGTCAGTAGTTGTGCCGTTTGCGTGCCACGCTGTCCACGTTTTGTCTTTCAAGACGGTAAACCTCGTGCCCAACGCGCACGTGTTGTAACTGACTACCCTCAGCGGAAAAAACTTCGCATGAAAACAATGGCCAGCCATGAGACCTGCCCTTTCTCTCATAGAGAATGTCCCCCTGGAGCATGTCAAAACCGGGTGACGTGTACGTCGATGGCAAAGGCCACCCGCTACCATAGCCGTACTGGGTCTGGGTGTGGCCAAGACTCCCACAAATTGACATTGATTTGCACCAATGCTCAACGTATTAACGAAACACAAACTGAGCAACCGTGGGGGATGACCTATTTTTGATAAAAGTTCTGTCGTCTTTCATGCCTTATTACAATACACTGCCAACTTATTCTGATGATAGTCATGTAACACCTAGACCTTCTGTTTTCTTATTTATCCATTACCATCACTCGATACCTCTTGGGATTTCTGTATTTGTATTTTATCTTCGAATATCCCCTACTTTTATTGGACAGTACATACAAGCATTAGTACTGACCAATTTTTACACAGGGGTAATCAATTTATTTTACCCAAGACGGTCGATTACCAAGGATATCGATGAATGGTTGCATGCTGTATATGAGGAGGCTTACACCCAACTCTGAGTGAATTTCATCGTTGGAGAGCGAATTTTGAAGATGAGCCCAACTCCGGTCAACTCACCACCAATAAAACTTAAGAAAACATTGATGTCATTCACAACCTGGTTCTCAACACTATATGCATCACTCATTGAGTCACTGGAGACCACAGGTTTGTCGTATGCGTCAAAAGAAACACAACTTCAAAACACCAGGTGGCTGGAAAACTCTGAGCCTCCCCTTGAAGGGTGAATAGAACACCCATACCAGTTTTCGTGTATTAAGTACAATACTGTTCATGCATACAGTCTGCACTGGAACCAAATACAGAAGCAGGCAGCAGATGTATGCGGGCATTAAAGTGCCTAGGTGAAACCTACGAGCACAGTTATGGTGCTCGCAAGCACAGGAACATCGTCAAGGCAAAGCAGTGTTCGAATCCACAATCATATGTTTCCAGCGTGCCCATGGGCCGCAACTCTGCACAGCGAATATGGACGCCTTAGACGACTGGGCCATTCATGCTCTAAGATTAGGAAGACCTTCAGCTGCCACCACCAAGGGAAATGTGTCCACGTGGTCACATGGGCAATACGTGGGTAATAATGAAATCTTTAAAAGGCTTAACACCACAAGCCCTAAGATACAAAGATATGAGAACAATACTGAGGAAGAATGCTCCTTCCGATGCCACCGTAAAGAGTATAGGTATGTCAGAGATAGCCTTGAAGACGACCTTCTTCATAGAAGGCCTATCACGTTGGCATCATCAGATATGATTCCGAGAATCTATGATACGGTGAGGACCGACCGGCGAATGAGCATCATATTGCTAGTTTATTGCTCTTTGGCAATGAAGACGGCATCAGCTTGCTGGGTCCCAAAGCTCCTACCTTCTGATAAAAAGACACCAGCACACAATGTCTCCTGATAATCTGGTCCTGTTTGAAGTTTATCCAGAAAGGTTCATTTAACTACTTGTGACTATGGATAAAACCTCAGTTCGGAACCTGAAGTCAGAGTCCAAACAACACTCAAACAGTGTATCACCACGACCAAGTTGTCCCATCAGCTGGAAAGGTTATGGCTTGGTTCTGGGATGCCGAGGGTAGCATCATGGTGACTATCTTCCGAAATGCCAGACAATAACCAAACATAATATGCTGCACTTTTGAGGCAATTGTGGGATAAAATTGACACTATGAGACGTGGGAATCAGTTTCCAGAAGGGGCATTTTTAACTGCACCAAAATAGTTTTCCGCTGATAAATCGCGAATATTTTATGGATTACATGAAAGGCAATGACTGAGTTGAGGATTTATCTGTGTCCTTTTGTCAGTATCGTAGTTGGAACTGTATTGTCTATTGTCCTCGCCAAGCATTGTGACATGATATATAAGTGTGTACAACTCAGTGAAACTTGCAATGTTTAGAAAGTTTGTGAGAGATGAAACGAATGACATTGTACGAGTGTATGTGGCAAATATCCTGTATTAAGAAGCCACAGGCTCCCTAAATAAAAGTTTTCTTCCTGCATTGCGTGACAACATCCATATAATAATAATGGTAATAAAGTTGAGAAGATGAGTCGGCTGGCCTAAAAGTGGAACAGAAGGCTTTCTGTTTGCTGCTCAGGGCCAGTCACTTTTCACTCGAAACCGTCAATGTCGTATTTTGCATCAAAATGTAAATTTGAAATGTAGATTATGCAATAAATTTAATGAGACTGTCCAACACATTGTCAATGGATGCCCCACTTTGGCACAAACACAGTATCTTAATCGACATGATTGAGTTTCTCGATCGTTTTATTACCGTCTTCGCAATGCTTGTAGTTTTGACACAGAGGTCCATCCAAGGTACGGCCCGGAATATATAGAGGGCGTCATGGAAAATGAAAAATATAAAATTATTTGGAATAGGCCCGTGTGCAGCCTCAGACCGAGGCCAACAAATGCATGTATTATATGCTCCAACATGTCGGTATATACACTGAACGATAGAGATACGGATATATTCAATGCAAGATGTTGTTACATACAATGTATGACTTCTATATCTGCGACAGATCAGTGCGGTTGTTGCATGTTATCATAACCCATATAAAGATACATGTCTCTCAATTGACACAATTTATCATATAATGGGTAGGTTTCTCGGCAGGATAAAGCCAACGGATAAAAACGATATCAATGGGGGTCATATGCGAATAGAGATGCAAATATCAAAGGTCAAGTGGGACTCATTTCACTGTTTCTAAACAAACATCGCGTCGCCCTCGTCATTCGGCGATCGAGTCAGAATTAACCATCGGGAATCTGGATAAACTACAGGGATAATTGCTATCATTATCAAAAAAACAGTCCAATATACTGAAAATCAGTGTCTAACTGTGACGTAGCTAAGGCATTTTATAAGTTTTGGCAACTTTGGAGATATAAGTTTCGAAACAATTTTGCGTGGGCACGAGGCCAGGCGGGATAAGTAGCCATATCTGTGCTTGTAGACCTCTGCGGCTTGAAACCTTTTCCACAAATTAAAATAGTTGGATTTTGCCGAAATATGTTTGAATTGTTTCGTTTTGTTGCTGTGTGTACATCTGACTACACTTCTTAACTTTATGACAGGACAGACCGACTGTCAACAACGTCTGAACGTGGCCGTGACGTCCCATAAACTAGGGTTAGAGTAGCTTCCCTTTGACAAAGGGCAGTTACTCTCGCGGACAGACCGATGCATTGGCGAAAGGCAATAAAAAACAATTGTTGCTTTGCGTATGTGTTGCTTCACCACTGTATAAGAGACAGTTTTCAGTTGGAACTATATTGGCTACTGTCACTGTCCGACTGACACATCACTTACCCTGTGACGTAATAAATATTAATGGGTGCATTCAAGGAAAACTCACAATGTTTCGGTAATGTTTGTGAGAGAGGGAAAGCGATTTTAAAGCACAAATTTAAAGAATGACATTATATGATCAAGAGGTTATCACGCTTATGTGTTTGGAGATGGTAAATATCCTGTATTAGGAATAAACACTATGTATTTAGCCCACCAAGGCTCGCTAAATACAATGTTTATTCCTAATGCAGGATAATCACCAGGGTAGCAATCTGGTGCTTTGTGGCGGGGTTCTTGTGGGCTACACTGCTAGTAACAAATTAACTTGCTTCCAAATTAATACTCGTGCTTAAGGCTACCTGCTTTTCAGTGGGAACCTTTCCGGGGTTACCTGCTTCTCAGTGGGAACCTTGTCTTTCCCGACTTTTCAGCCGGGGAATCGTAAAATAACATACGTTGGGGCAAACAATTGCCACACATATGGGCCCGGTGGCGGAAGTCGTCTTGTCAAGTGGTAGCTGACAGTTGGGTCCGCGGCGGTAGCTGACAATGCACAATGGTTTTGCTAATGGGGCCAGGCAGTGGGATCTGCTTTGGCCGGCTACCTGGGGCCGGGCAGCGGTAGTCTGACTTAGGCCAGCAGCGGTAGCTGCTTTTGGAAGCGTGGTAGTTGCCAAGCTGGGTAGCGTTTAAATATGCTACCGTGGGGGCCGGACAGCGGTAGCAGTCTCAGGCCAGCAGCGCTAGCTGCGAATCGCCGTTGGCAACGCTAGTGGCCATGGCAACGGTAGCATTTTGGTATACACAATTAGCAGCTTATTAGCCCACTAGTACCTGCACACCCTCGGCCATTTAACCCAATCTCATCTTCTGTTTTTATTATAGGCACGGGCATCCACGGCTCGGTGGCCCAAGCCTCTCTTCTCTCCAAGGCTCGCTAAATACAATGTTTATTCCTAATGCAGGATATTTACCATCCCCAAACACACTCGCGTGATAACCTCTATGTAATATCTCACAGTAAGACCGTCAGTTACAACCAACCTGAAGACACTTATACACAACAAGATAGAAAAATAAGGCTATGAAAGGTAACAGTCTCAGCTGGGATAGATGAAACCACTTATGATCTCACAGCTAGTTTAACAAAAATTCAAACTCACCTGAAGACACTGTTGTCGGTACTGGTGTCGTTGTAGTGACAGTCGCAGGGGATGTTCCAACCGATGATGACGCCACAGGGGTCGTTCCTTTTGAAACAAAAGATGGGAAATATACACATTGTTATTGATGAAAAACATAATTATGATTTTTCCTTATTGTTAAAACAGTCAAACTAAATTTTAAATATAACCCCTTGATAAAATAGTCAACGTTATGGTATATGGAGAAAGCGAATATTGAATATGACCACTGATTTGACAGATGCATGGTTTCATTGTATCCGGTGCGTTTGCATGGTATTCCCACAAGCTAGTTTCGTTGTGGAAGCCACTTTCATCGATAAATCACATTGTGTAGGATATTAAACAAGCCTCAATTTAACATCAAGTATTTGCCCGAGTCTAAAAACCGATAAAATAGCTGTCAAAAGGAGTTTGTCAAACGTAATAGAAATGTGGAAAGCCAATATCGAATATGACCACTGTCTTGACAGATTCGATTATTATTTTCTATTATTGAAGCCACAATTCCCGAGAGTTTACATTGTATAGGATATTATACAAGCTTCAATTCAATATCAAGCTTATGCCCTGAAGACTTTATTTTATTTGGCCCGAGGCTAAAAAACGAAAAAAAGAAGTTTCACCGGAACTTTGAAGTTATACATGTCACTCTAGTGACTCTGCAAAAAAGGGACGATTAAAGCTGTTATTGTGACCCTAAAACGTTGTTTAGTCAGACGTCCAATAAAAACTGTATAAAACGTCTAACGTCAATACGGGTATAATTTGAATCCCTGCATTTTCTATACTGTTGGTGTTCAAATTGTACGTGCAGAAGACGCACATGAATTGATCAGATAGTTTGAACGTCGTTGCATTTTGGCGAATCTGCACATTTTTCCGGTGACGGTGTTTATGTCACTGTAACGATGGGGACAGGCTGAGGTCCCCACATTCAAATTTACAAATGCTATATACCACTTCTAGTGAATGTGTATCTTTTAGGTATCACGTTTTATGAATATATGTACATCTGGGTGTGTATACTCAGAAACAGAACACATACCTTTTGGTATTACCTACAACAAGCCTGGTGCAGCAAAGTCAACAAACCATTAAACTCGTATTCTGATAGACAATGCAAATCCCTTTTACATATTGAAATTAGTCTAATTGTTTCTACCCTATTTTGCCTCACCTAAATGTTTGTATACCTGTACATTGCTTTCGAAAAAAACCCTCTAAAAACATACTGCAAAGGAACCAGTACATATCTCTCTATATCTAAGTAGAGCAACATATAAATAATTGCTAATATATTCAGATTGTTTATAGCTTTTATTGTATGCATAAATCCATGCATGTACATTGTGGGCCTTAAAACAGAATAAAACTGTCTGCCTGTAGCATATAGGTGTAAATAAATTAATATAAGCACATATACACACATTCATGTACACACACAGTTACAGACAGACATACGCACGCACGCACGCACGCACATACGCAGGCATATACGCACGCACGCACGCACGCACGCAGGAACTCACTCACTCATTCACTCACTCAACCCATGTCACCAGAGGCAAAGAAATCATGTTACTGTATATATAATTGTATCATACCTCCATGTCAGTGTCATTCGGGCTACATGTGGTTTTATGCATCCCTCGTAAGGTTTCATACCAGTCGCTTCTGACACGTGGTATAAAACCTAACGCGGGACGCATATATCAACATGTACTGCCGAAACTATAATATTGCAGGTGTTTCTTGAGCATACGTTCTTTGATCGAAATCGGTAAGAATACAGTCAGACATCGAAACATAGCGAACGAAAGAAGTCAAACGTAGAGTTATTCCCCCAGAACCATTGCAAATATTCGGAGAAAGGCGTACACAATTAATTGGAGATACAAAATTGCGATTGGTATGTGGCAATTGTCATGTAAACAGTTTGACAATACGAGCGGGAAACATAAGAAATGTTAGTTACATGTTAGCGGGGTGCTTTGAGTGAGTGAGTGAGTGAGTATGGTTTTACGCCGCTTTTAGCAATATTGCAGCAATATCACGGCGGGGGTCACCAGAAATGGGCTTCACACATTGTACCCATGTCGGGAATCGAACCCAGGTCTTCGGCGTGACGAGCGAACGCTTTAACCACTAGGCTACCCGACCGCCCCCGGGGTGCTTTGACAAATAGACGCCGACATTTAGGTGAAAGAGTCAAACCCACCTGATGGCGTTGTAGTCGGTACTGGTGTCGTGGTAGGGACATTCGCAGGGGATGTTCCAATTGATGATGACGCCACAGGGGGAGTGCCTTTGGAACAGAAGATTAGAAATATATGCATAGTTATTCATAGAATACATCGCTCAACATGAAGTCAATATAATCGTACCTTCTTCTTGCAACGGTCAAAATAGATGTAGAGATATGGTATATGTGGAAAGAGAAAATCGAATATAACCACTGATTTGACACATTATATGGTTTCATTATCTCGGGAGTGTAAACAAAGTCTTCTACGACCTATTTTCGATTATGAAAGCCACCAATGCTTATTGTTTGCATTGTATAGGATAGAAACAAGCTTCATTTCAACATTGACCTTATACCCTCAGGAAATTGTTTTAGTTGACCGATGTAAAAAACGATAAAGTTTTTCAGGAACTTTGAAGTTATAAAATGTACTAACAATGGTGCGTATAAAATTGACGATTAAAGTATTATATGTTACCATCACATGCATTAAAGTTAGACGTCAAATGTAAAACTGTTAAAACCTAAGACGACAGTCAAACATGTTTTAAGTCACAATTATACATCCTCTTTAACTTCTCCAAATATGCATGGCGAGAAGAGTGAGTGAGTGAGTTGGGCTTAACGCCGCTTTAAAAGTATTCCAGTCATATCACGGCGTGTCAGCTTAATATGGGAGGAAAGCCCGAAGTGATGCAGGTCTCAGACGTTTACCACTTCGGTGAAACCCACGAGCACGGGTATGGTGCTGAAAAACCTAGAAATATAATTTGGGCGAACCGGGATTCGAACCCACAATCATAGATTTCTGGCGTGCCCAAGGGACGCAACTCTGCACAGCGAATCGCGGCGCCTTAGACGACTGGGCCACCCGTGCCCCCAATGGCGAGAAGAACAGGTCATGGTTAATATTATTAGAGACTCACCTTCAGACGTCGACTCCACGTCCTTCTCGCCATACACTTCTATTTCTTCAATAACAAGTGGCGGAACATCACTGGTGACACGGATGTATCGTACAGTAAACCAAATCTGACAGGTGAATGTTGAGGTACCGTCACCGATGTTCTCACCGCAGGTGAAAGTCTGTAGAGGATCAATTTTCGAATCCAAGGAGAGATGTATCGTCCTTTTAGTAGTCACCACAGACCCTGTAACACATATGTGAGTACTGGGTGCGTTGGTGGGCTAAACGCCGATTTGAGCATAAGGGCACTTAGATTTACAGCTTAATGTTGATAGAAATCCAAAAGTGACAACTATTCTGATGAAATGCACGGGAATGGTGATGTGAGTGAATCGTGGATGTTGGCCGAAAGGTGGACAAATGTGTGTGTGTGTGTGTGTGTGTGTGTGAGTGTGAGTGTGAGTGTGAGTGTGTGTGTGTGTGTGTGTGTGTGGCGGATTAGTCCGGATTAATGCCGATTGAATAGTGCTAAACCATTGAGATAGCATGCGCAGTTTAAATTGAATACCCCAATCACACACAGTATACTTCGAGCCGACCAGTCCTTGTTTTAGACCCAGGGTAACAACAAGTACCATCTTATAACGTCTTTTGGTATGAGGCGGCCGGGGAATGAACCCCAAACCTTCCCCTCTTCGTAGACAATACCACGGAGTTGATATCTGTTAAAAAGTTGGAATCAACAGTGTTATTTACCGCAAGTATCTGACGGATCACCACAAGTCAGTATTTTGTGTCATTTTCCACAATAAGTATTTATATGGAAGCGTATTAGTGCCACAGTCTAAAAGGTCTTAATCATCCACGTAGATGATACTGTATTCTTCGTAGAACATATTTTCATCTCCGCATTCGTCTCAGACAGTGATTTTGTCTTGTGAATTTGCGACCCCAATTGGATACAAGTTAAAACAAACATAAATATTTTAAATAAAGATGATTACTTAATTCGTGTTAATTAAATTAAATGTTTTGGGCATGTTGGTTGTGTATTTTTATTTGGCCTTTTCCGTAGTTTTACAGCATACTGAGATCATTTCAAATTTTCAAACGATCAGCATAAACTGCAGAATTGTATCTTTAGTGCTTAAATGGATGATGACGAGTACTGGTTTCATATAGTTATTATAGTTTGAGGTGATTCCCACCCATTTATATTCACGTTTTACCTCTAAAACCTAATTTTCGTGTTGGAGAAATCAAGAGAATCAACATATTTGAGTGATTTCTAGGGATTTAAACATGCCATGGTTGATATATAATTGCGCTACACTTTGGAATAATGACCAATAGTTATTTGTTTGTTTGTGGTTCTCCTTCTTTATTACGTCTGTAAATGTAAATGTGTCTGTCATTCTCCAGTAACTTCGGAACATTGAAATGAAGATTTACTTTATCTTTATGCAATGTTTAGAAAGGTAGAAAGTGAAACAAATCGGTCAGTATTAATTAAAAGCCAGAGGTTATACATAACTGACCCGGAACTAGTGTCGATTACTCGAGAAAACATTGTTGCCTAAGTCGATAATTTGATAGTAGATTACACTTTCGTCAACGTAGATTATCTTATTAGGAACGTAGCTGAAAGTATCGTCTAAGTAGATGTAAGTATCAGCTCCGAAGATGTAAGTATGATCTATGCAGATGACACTTTAATCTACATAGATGATACTTTGTTTAGACTGTGGCACTAATAGCCTTCTAAAATGTCCAAATATATATACATGTGAACACACATTTTACCATAGTGAGAGAGTTCAGGGTTAACGTCAAATCAGAATATTTACGGCAAGCGTGTGACGATTTTTACTGTAGTGAGAGAGTTGGGCTTGCCCCCAGTGCAATCGGCAGATAATATTAATAGAGGCTGATTGCGCCCTGGTGTTGACAATTTATGTTTAACTCGCTTTGAACATTTATGATCATCTTAGTTCTATCACAGTATGCTTGCTTGATGAAAGAGGAAAGACCGAAGCCATGCTGGTCTTTGACGATCGCTACTTTGTGAAACCAACGAGCACGGATTTAATGCTGACAAACCTGTAAACACAATCAGAGCGAATCTGGGATTCGCATCCACCAGCATCAGTAAAGGGAACAACTCTGCACAGCCAGCGGAAACTGGTCTTTTTGGGGAAGTAATCAATAAAAGTAACATGTGACGATTTATGTTGTCTGCATATAGATAAACGTTTAACTTATTAGGAACGTCGTGTATGATGTAAATAGCAGTGTGCAAACTGATAACAGAATTGTACGTTTTTCCAACAATATATTGCAATGATTCCTCCCCGAAATTGTCGGGTTCTAACACTTATCAACGAAATCAAGGCCACTACGTTAACATCCCACCAGCTGCAATTGCAAGCTAACCAAGTCAAATATTTCAGTAAATAATATCGTGTTTGCTACACATTCATATACAAATTAAAGATGTACCATAATTCTCATGAAAAGTAAAATGTAGGAAAGACAACCCATTCCTCTGAGGCAAGTAGACAAACGCAGACACTGCTGTGAAGAATCGCTATTGGTTGTGCAGAGTTGCTTATTTGTTCAGATCCCGAGTCGACCCAATAATGACCCTAGATTTATCCACTTAGTGCTTCCGGTTTTCACCAATAAGATAGAAGTCGACAGCCGCGTCGCTGTTTTCCTGCCTTCCACGTCAACCTGACATGCGTGGTATAACTGTTACGGTAATATTCGTCAAAACAGCATCAAACAGCAGCTACAATGTTTTTACTCACAAAAACATATGTCTAATACCCTTCTTTGATACATTATTTCAAGTTGTTTCCATAGATGTGTTTGCAAATCAGAAACAAATAATAGCTAAAATAAATACCACCACAGATTTTGATTAATTATGCACAATTACAGTTGATGCCACGTTGACTCTTTGTGGCAGATACAATTATTGAATTTGTAACAGTAGTTTGGATTATAGATTGTATTTGGCAAGTAGATGTACCCACAATGATCAGTCAGTAGCTTTATGATAAGTAGAAAGACTGTTAAGAATGTCAATACAGTTTCCACAGAAACACAAGAAATAAAAAAAAAGAAATAACGGAAAAAAACATGGAAAGGCAATAGTTGAGCATGTGGTCAATGCATATGCATACTATCATGTAAAAATAGTCTTAAATATAAGTTTGAGAGTTATGGATCAGAAACGAAGTCTAAATTGTTTCCATGGAAACGTAGCCATGAATTGTTTTGACAGATTTCCAAACTGCAAAAGGCACCAGTTAAGCCTAGTTTCAGAAACAAATATGTTGAATGGTTATAAAGTTATGGCCCGAAACCGAATCCTACCCTCGTTTGAGACAAAGTCGAAATTGTTTCATAGTACAATTTTGAACAATGTTAAAGAAGCAAAAGTCTCCAGTTAAGCTGATGAGTAATACATATGTCAAGTTTCGTTGGGATATGTTGAAAGGTTTTCAGGGTAAGGCCGGAAGCGTAGTCTGCCCTCGTTTGTGACTAAGTCAAATTATTTCGATGAAACTATAGAAAAATAAGATAGCAAAAATGCAAAATATCAAGAGGCTCAAGTTAAGCTGATGAGCACGTTTCATTAAAAATCATTGAACGGTTTTCAAGTTATAGCTCGGAATAATAATTCATCCATTTAAACATCAATTAGATTATATTAGATCAGATAAAAAAATAATTACCTAATGGAAAGTGGACAGTTATTCGCCTGATCTCATAGAAACCTTCTAAATCAATTTGCCAGAAGGCTTCTCCGGGTTTGTTAGCGTCGGATGAAAAATATGTAAGCAGGTCTTCATCAATCGCAAGGTCTTCTTCGTATCCTGATTCTACTGAACTGTATTCCAGTGGCTTTCCTGTTAGGTTGACTGCAACATAACCAAACATGTTATTTCCAAAGTCAATACCCTGCATAAAATATCTGAAAGGTGTCCCACGCAGCTCGGAGTCACGGACTGACTTCAAACATGAACACAAATAAAGTACTTGCTCTAAACCTTTCGCATCACAAAAAGTGTGATCCAATGCACAATTTAGGTTAAACTGGAATAAAAAGTATAACAATTTATGTTTGAAGCAATCGACCAAGGGCACAGAAAACATGTTAAATCTCCTTTAATCGAAGTTTTGGAGACATTCGAAATATATCGAGTTATCCGAAGTTCGAGAAAAATCGAGTGTCATTATCAGATAACACTACCGGTAAGAATTCTGTCGGGAGGATGCTAGAACAGACTACATCCTTTCGTCGAGTTAGATAATTAGGTTTTTACTGCTGTTAGGTACTAAAATGAGAAAACTCAGTATCAAGACAATATTTACTAAAAGACACAATGACTGACAAACAGTTAATTCCCACCAACACGTGTGTGATGCTAACAGGCGAATACTCAAAAGCAATCTGAGATTCGAACGTACACTGAAACTTGACGTGCGTATAGTTTGTACGTAGGTAGGGTGTCATTCCTGATTTTCACACACTGAAGCAAAGCCGATAAATCTCTGTGGACCATTATTTCTGTCAATCTTATTGATTCTGCTTATCCCGCTTTTCTATTTATTCGATTTCATTCATTATTTGTCTATGTTTGTGTCGTGGTCAATACGTCCACTGTTTCACAGTCTGTGATAAGCAGACTATGGAACAGGTGTCAACAAACATAGAATATTGACGATCGACGATCGAGAACAGGATCCACTGGTCGGAAACAAATACGAAATACGTTTTACGAAATTGAGATCAAACGGCGAATCAAATTGCTGCAAACTTTCATCAAGCTACTGGAGTACGATTGGAAATTGTCTACATGCAACTAATCGCAATGCTCGTTTGCCACGTGTTGTTCTACCACTTGGATATCGTCATATTGCCAAAATACGTTAATGGTGTGAACAACGTCTAAACTTCTACTGCTCAGTAATGCATGATGGGAATATAGACTGTTGAAAAGTCAATGTCATCTTTCGTGTTCGGCGTCTCTGAACGGAGTTTCTGAAATCTTAACGGTGTTCAGAGAGATTTACTGTTATCTATGTTAAATGCTGTAACATATTCTCCCTTCAAACGTTTTTCTTCAGATGCTAACAGGCGAATACTCAAAAACAATCTGAGATTCGTACTGATTCTATGAGCTTGGCAAATATGAGCTTGACGTGCGGACACAAAATTCTTTGAGACCTAAACCCATAGCAACTATGCGTTTGGTTGGTTCCGTTTGTCCCAATACCATACACATGTGAGGATAAATATAAACATGTAAAAGGTGTTTGTTTACACACCACATAGATGAGTTTTACACTCTCCAAAAAACAAACAAACGCACAATCAGATTTTTAGTAAATTTATTGTACCTAATAGAGTTGATATATTTCGTTTAATTTCATAGATACTGATATGAAGTTTTGGAGCCCGATAGTCACATGCTGTACAAAGGCATTGAAAACTATTCATTGCCATGTCACATTAGGCCACAAGGTGGCGCTGAACTCAGGATCTCGTGTTCTGCGGAATTCTGCGCCATTCTGCTTGTAACGCGTTGGCCAGTTGTGGGGGTGTCTGCAGCGTGTTCTGACGTTGACGTACACGTCGATCGAGTTCATCCAAGAGGTGTTCGACTTGGTTGAGATCTGGAGATCTCGACGGCTGGAGCACGACGTTGATGTTGGCATTATGGAGGTAGTCTACCCTGACACGGTCTGTGTGCGGTTGAGCGTTGTCCTGTTGAAGCAGCTCACTCTGTCAATGGTAGGAAGAAGGTGCGGTTGAATTTTTTTTATTCCTGTAGCGATTTGTGTCAAAATTCCCTGAACCACAACCAAGTCAGATCTGGTGGTGTAGGATATGGCCCCCGACACCTTGAAGCTACCGCCACCGAAATTGTCGAATTCATGGACATAATGTGGGGCAAAACCCTCATTTCGACGACGATAAACACGTTGTCGTCCATCTTGCCGGTGAAGAGGAAATCGTGATTCATCGCTAAACCACACTCGTCTCCAGTTTCTCAAATTCCAAGGCTTTAAGTTATGGCACCGAAGGAAGCGTCGCTGTCGATGGATCTGTTGCAAAACAGACGACACCTGGTCTTCTGGGTCGGATCTCAGCCTCGCGAAGATGGTTCCTGATGGTCAGTTATCCTCCTAAAATCAGGGATGCGTCCTGCACTCTCTGACATTGCGATGACGGAGGTTGAACAGTCGAATGAAGCCATCCTGTACAGGGGTGGTAACTCTTGGTCGGCCGATTCTCGGACAGTCTGCAGTGGCATTGAACTGGGTGTATCGGTTACAAAGGCGGCAAATGGTGTTGTGGTGGACGTAGAAGTGGCGTTGAAGAGAAGACTGCGATTCCCCTCTTTGGATACGTCCTATGGCGATGTTCCGATCGGCTTATGCTTGCCTTTTTATAGCGACTACCACGAGTTACGAATGCCATACGTGTATTTTGCTTTACTGTTTTCCTCCAGGATATTTGTGAACAAGTGTGAAAACAATGCCGTTTAAGACATTGCAAATCGACAATGACTGCGTTTTGACGCACAGTTTGTCGCATATCAGGCCACCAACATTTTCCCATAACATACATCCAATTAATATACTGGATCTTTTTTGTAATGAACTAAGTACTACTTGTTCGGTTTTTTTAAGAGTATATGTGCAACTTTCCCGTTGCTGGTACCATAATTGCGATCGGTTACACATCTGACATCGGGACAACATCCGCTTAAAGACACATTGAGTGATAAACAGTTAATTTGGACAGCATCACAATTTACAAATAACATATTGGCTCGGTTATAACAATCTCATGCATGGTTGACCATGAATGGTTCTCTCAAATTTCTTCTCGTCCGATAACTCCATGAACCTGGGCTGTTCTAAAAGTGTCCGTGACAATGCCATTTATCACATATTTTCGAATCGTTACACCCAAACATAGTTTATCAATGTTACACGAGGAACAGGTTATGTGGTTAATGCACAAACACTGCAATAAAAATGTTAAAAAAGCTATAGATAAATCCACAACAAAAAGTGTCGACAAAATGATATATAAAAGAAAATACAACATCGATCTATGAATGAATCGTAACGTGTTCTATAATCATCTTGAAAATATTTCAGAATCCTGTTTCATAATTATCGATGGAAAATCTTCCGCTTTTTCAAACTTTAACCGTGCACGGTTCACAAGCCGGTGAATGGTGGCCTACTCGTTCTGCCATGCTCGAGCGAGTTGTGGCTGTGGTTGTCCCTGGTGCTCTCGCAGGCGTCTGTCCAACTCTGTGTTATCAAATATTGCATTGGGTTCAAATGCGGCGTATTATAACGCTACCTACGCCAAATATGTCAGCCTTCTGTGCGCTGTTTGCCGCAAAGCGTCCATTACGAGGTCTATTAACACAGCGACCCGTGAAGATACGGGGTAGAATAGGTGTTCATCAACCCATGCTTGGTTGATGCATGTCATCGTATCCCATCGCATGTCATGATGTGAATCACTGGATTGTCTGGTTCCGACTATATTGTTTACATACCGCCGTCATATAGCTGGAATATTGTCTTCCGGATCTAGGTTGGTCACATGTTGACCCATGTTGTTGATATTTAGTCCCACAATCTTGTAATGGTGTTTGGGATACGTTTAACATCATGGGAACGACTGCATTGTCCTGCTTCCAAGCGGCAGATGACGTTGTTCCACTGCGCTTCAGTGCGTCGTGATATGTTCTGGCAGTTCTACAGTCGGTAGCATACGGGTATAATTTGAATCCCTGCATTTCCTATACTGTTGGTGTTCAAATTGTACGTGCAGAAGACGCACATGAATTGATCAGATAGTTCGAACGTGGTTGCATTTTGGCGAATCTGCACATGTTTTTCCGGTGACGGCATTTATCTCACTGTAACGATGGGGATAGGCTGGGTTCCCCACATGCCGTCAGATTTACAAATGCTATACCACTTCTAGTGAATGTATATCTTTTGGGTATCACGTTTTATGAATATATGTATATCTGCAATACAGCGCTGTGTGTGTATACTCAGAAACAGAACACATACCTTTTGGTATTACCTACAACAAGCCTGGTGTAGCAAAGTCAACAAACCATTAAACTCGTATTCTGATAGACAATGCAAATCCCTTTTACATTTTGAAAATAGTCTAATTGTTTCTACCCTATTTTGCCTCACCTAAATGTTTGAACACCTGTACATTGCTTTCGAAAAGAAAAAACTCTAAAAACATACTGCAAAGGAACCAGTACATATCTCTCTATATCTAAGTAGAGCAACATATAAATGATTGCTAATATATTCAGATTGTTTATTGCTTTTATTGTATGCATAAATCCATGCATGTACATTGTGGGCCTTAAAACAGAATAAAACTGTCTGCCTGTAGCATATAGGTGTAAATGAATTCATATAAGCACATACACACACATACATGTACACAGAGTTACAGACATACGCACATACGCAGGCACGCACGCACGCACGCACGCACGCACGCACGCACGCACGCACGCACGCAGGAACTCACTCAACCCATGTCATCAGAGGGACTGGTTGGCAAAGAAATCATGTTACTGTATATATAATTGTATCATACCTCCATGTCAGTGTCATTCGGGTTACATGTGGTTTTATGCATCCCTCGTGAGGTTTCATACCAGTCGCTTCTGGCTCGTGGTATAAAACCTAACGCGAGACGCATATATCAACATGTACTGCCACAACTATAATATTGCAGGTGTTTCTTAAGCATACACTCTTTGATCCGAATCGGTAAGAATACAGTCAGACATCGAAACATAGCAAACGAAAGAAGTCAAACGTACGGTTATTCCCCAGGAACCATTGCAAATATTCGGAGATAGGCGTCCATAATTAATTTGAGATACAAAATTGCAATTAGTATGTGGCAATTTTCATGCAAACAGTTGGACAATACGAGCGGGAAACATAAGAAATGTTAGAAACATGTTAGCGGGGTGCTTTGACAAATAGACGCCGACATTTAGGTGAAAGTGTCAAACCCACCTAATGGCGTTGTTGTCGGTTCTGGTGTTGTTGTAGTGACATTCGCAGGGGATGTTCCAATTGATGATGACGCCACAGGGGGATCGCAGTGGAACAGAAGATTAGAAATGTATGCATAGTTATTCATAGAATATATCGCTCAACATGAAGTAAATAAACAGGGCGTCAAAAGAAAATATAGGTCGAGTTCCATGATCGTTAAAAAAATAACAAGAAGAGGTTATGTTGTGAATTATAATATAACCTTTGGAGGGGTGCCGAATGATTGATCAACCACAGTTTGAATGAAATCGTGCAATCACAGGTCATGTTAGCTCAAGGTAGACAATGGTGGGGTAAGAAATTTCATTTTCAAAAGTTGTCTGAAATGTCACCAAAATATTGTCATACACACTACAATGCAAGTTCATTGTCTACACAGCCTTCAATAACGTGTATGACCTCCAGCTGCCTCAATGCATACTGTGATACGCATGACGTCAGTCTTCTGATGACGTGGACTGGAATCCGTTGCCACTCGTCTCTCAGGGCCTGCTGCAATTCTTGTCTGTTGACGGGAGGCTGATGGCGTGCTCTAATCTGTCTGTCAAGATGGTCCCACAGATGTTCAATAGGTGAGTGAGTGATATTCCAGCAATATCACGGCGGGGGACACCAGAAATGGGCTTCACACATTGTACCCATGTCGGGAATCGAACCCGGGTCTTCGGCGTGACGAGCGAACGCTTTAACCACTAGGCTACCCGACCGCCCTGTTCAATAGGATTCATATCGGGTGAGTGGGCAGGCCAGGGCAAAACGTCAACGTTCTGCTGGTTTAGAAAGTTCTTGCCATGTGAGGCCACGCATTGTCGTGTTGAAACAATGTGCCTGTTGGTTTTGTAAAAACGGAAGCACAACTGGCTGCAACACTTGGTCTCTGTACTGCACAGCGTTCAGGTTTCCCTGTATAATCACAAAATCAGTCTTCTGATCTCCACAAATACCGCCCCACACCATGCGCACACTTGTGCTGCTGGAATCCGAGCGTATCGTCCTTTCCGTGGAATGGTACTGACTGCTCAACATCGTCTCGATGGGTGAGGCAGGTTCGACGCTGGCAAGTGACAAATTGGCGTCGAGTGCTGTTTACTGATGAACGTCGGTTTAACTTGTTTTTTGAAATGACGGCAGAGAACGACTTTATCGACGCAGATGGGCCGGTTTGGCTCCGGCGTGTTCTCGAGAGGTCCATCCATTCGGCTAGGGAGGTGTCATGGTGTGGGGCAGTATTTGTGGAGATCAGAAGACTGATCTGGTTGATCAATCATTTGTTACCCCTCCCTAGATTACATTATAATTCACAACAAAACCTCTTCTTGCTATTTTTTTATCGATCATGGAACTCGACCTACATGTATACTATAAATTTTTCACCATTGTTATGTAATACTATTTGCCAATAGTTACATGTATATTGTTTATGATATTTAATATCACGTTTATATTTCACATGCGGAAGTTTTCCGAGAGCAAACAGAAAATTATTGTCATCAAGACGTATACATGTTGTAATTACAGTAAAATACGTTGATAACGAACACGCTTTTTGTGAAATGGCGGATATTACGAACTTAATTTTTGGTCCCAGCCATTTGCTGTATAGATGTTGCATGTATGTTTATAACGAACTACGGTTATAACGAAATTAAATTAGTGGTCCGTTTGAGTTGGTTATAACCGTAGTTTGCTGTAATATGATTAGAGAGTGAGTGAGTGCCTGTGTGTGTGCCTGCGTGCGTGCGTGCCTGCGTATGTGCGTATGTCTGTAACTGTGTGTACATGTATGTGTGTGTTTGTGCTTATATTATTTTATTCATACCTATATGCTACAGGCAGACAGTTTTATTCAGTTTTAAGGCCCACAATGTACATGCATGGATTTATGCATACAATAAATGCTATAAACAATCTGAATATATTAGCAATTATTTATATGTTGCTCTACTTGGATATAGAGAGATATATACTGGTTCCTTTGCAGTATGTTTTTAGAGGGTTTTTGTCGAAAGCAATGTACAGGTATACAAACATTTACCCGATGACGTATTTTGTGGAATTTTGTTGCAAGATCCATCGGCGAAACAATGCCATGTGACGTCAGCCTAGCAACAAGTTTGCTGGGGTCATCGAGTGTGCATTAGCTCCTCTCAGTGATCTATGAACTCCACCCGCAATGCCGTTGAATAAGCCAAGGGATGATGAGAGCTTTCAATATTTGTTCGTGAAACGTGTTCCGAGAGTACATAAGCACGCGTTTCGGTATTACACAATGTGTAATACAGCTGTTTGTTTATTAAACGGGTGATCTCTTCACGGGCAAGTCATAAATACATATTTTTATAAAACGTGATACCCAAAGATATACATTCACTAGAAGTGGTATATAGCATTTGTAACTCTGACGTCAAATGGAGATCCCAGCCTATCCCCATCGTTACAGTGACATAAGCGCCGTCACCGGGAAAATGTGCAAATTCGCCAAAATGCAACCACGTTCAAACTATCTGATCAATTCAAGTGCGTTTTCTGCACGTATTAATTTGAGTATTTTTTTATTACTACATACATGACCTGAAGATGAATGAACAAACCCAAAAATTCTTTGAAGATTGAAAGTCAAATTAGTATTTTAGAATATATTTGTATGAGTGAGTGAGTGAGTGAGTGAGTGAGTGAGTGAGTGAGTGAGTGAGTTTGGTTTAATGGTTTATATGACGGCGTGTCAGCTTAATGTGGGAGGAAAGCTAACGTGATGCAGGCTTTGGACGTTTACCACTTCCTGTGAAACCCACGAGCACGGGTATGGTGCTGACAAACCTTGATACATAAACGGGGCGAAACGGGATTAAAACCCACGACTATAGGCTTCTGGCGTGCCCAAGGGACGCAACTCTGCACAACGGCACCGAAGACGACTGTGATATCTGAGCACCACTACTCAGTAATACATGATGCGTATATAGACTGTTGAAAAGACAAAGTCACCCTTCGTGTTTAGCGTCTCTGAACGGAGTTTCTGAAATCTTAACGGTGTTCAGAGTGATTTAATGTTATCTATGTTAAAGGCTGTACCATATTCTACAACCTAACTCCCTTCAGACATTTTACCCATATTTCACGCCTCTTTGTGCAGTATGCCAGTCACCGTATGTTCTTTAAATGACGAAAAGCACACAACAATCTAAATTTATCTTTTATATCAACACGTGTGTGATGCTAACAGAAGAATACTCAAAAACAATCTGAGATTCGAACTTATTCTATGAGATCTGCAAACAGGAACCTGACGTGCGGACACAAAATTCGTTTTGTCCTAAACCCATAACAACTATGAGCTTGGTTGGTTCCGTTTGTCCCAATACCATACACATGTGAGGATAAATATAACTATGTAAAAGGTGTTTGTTTACACATCACATAGATTTATCCCTAAACCCATAACAAACTAGCGTTTGGATTGTTCCCTATTTATCCCAATGCCATAAACAGATGTGAGGATAAATATAAATATGAAACGAAAGAAGTCAAACGTACAGTTATTCTCCCAGAACTATTGCAAATATTCGGAGAAATGCGTCCATAATTAATTTGAGATACATAATTGCGAATGGTATGTGGCAATTGTTATGCAAACAGTTGGACAATACGAGCGGGAAACATAAGAAATGTTAGTTACATGTTAGCGGGGTGCCTTGACAAATAGACGCCGACATTTTTGTAAAAGTGTCAAACCCACCTGATGGCGTTGTAGTCGGTTCTGGTGTTGTGGTCGTGACATTCGCAGGGGATGTTTCAATTGATGATGACGCCACAGGGGGATCGCAGGGGAACAGAAGATTAGAAATATATGCATAGTTTTTCATAGAATATATCGCTCAACGTGAAGTAAATAAACTGGGCGGCAAAAGAAAGTATAGGTCGAGTTCCATACACCGATGTGAGGATAAATATAAACATGAAAAAGGTGTGTTTGTAAACACACCAAGTTGGTTAGTTTTATCTGTAATTTACCCGTTGCTGGTTCCTCTTCAAACACCTGTAGGACTTCAATCGCGATCGGTGTTACATCTGTCACTGTTATATACTGCGGTGAAAAGGGGGCTTTACAGTCAAACTTTGATTGCCCGATGTCGACGATTGTACCGCAAAGGTAGAATAATGCGCCTCCAGTATTCGGGTTAACGTCGTAGAAGCGGATGGACGCACCCGCCATGTTCGCTGCAGAGACAACCATGCATTAGGAGGGACAGATGGGGTTACTAGACTAGTGTTCAGCAGTTCTGTTAAGGGGGTTAATGTCAATACCCCACCCAACCCTAATATACGTTTAATGGTTTAGCACCCATGCCATTCATCGTATAGATTGCCATGGGAACATAGCCATGGTGACTGTGTTCTTGGACATAATTCTTTTACCATCAGGGGACGTTGCTGAAAGAGGCCACGTGGTACATAAGGATCGAGTTGTCTTTCATGGAACCTCCTTGGTAGTAAGGAATTTTGAAAACATCCTTCCTCCCTACCCAGTCTGTTTGGATAAGTCACGACAAACAAAAGAAAATTCTCGACTGGTCTCAATTCACGGTTTGGAATTAAAGAGTAATGAATAAATAAATATTGCTTTACGCCGCATCTGGTGGAATGAAAGACCTACATGTAAGGTAAACAGACACTTAGTCTATATGTTTGCCACTCTGGTGAAACATAGCAGCACGCACATGGTGCTGACAAGGATTATAAAAGGGCGGAATTGGGGTGAGTGAGTGAGTTGGGTCTAACGCCGCTTTTAAATGTGTTCCATTTTATCACGGCGTGTCAGCTTAATGTGAGAGGAAAGCCCGAAGTGATGCAGGTCTCAGACGTTTACCGTTTCGGTGAAACCCACGAGCACGGGTATGGTGCTGACAAACCTAGAAACATAATCGGGCGACCCGGGATTGGAACCCCTAATCATAGGTTTCTGGCGTGCTCAAGGGACGCAACTCTGCATAGCGAATCGCAGCGCCTTAGACGTCTGGGCCACCCGTGCCCCTGGAATTTGGGATTCGAACCCATAATCATTGGACGTAATTCTCCACAAGGTATTACAAAGAGCCTCAGTGAGCGTGTGTATTGTTTATCTCCCTTCAGAGCAGCATTTCAGGCACGCCAGAGACGGGACACCACCGATCGGCTTGTGGCATGGCAAATATGACGTGCTGTACAACCAGTGATAATCTGCTTGGAAGCATTGTAATACGGACCATTGTTCCCTGAATCATATCCTGGCATAAAGATCTCTCCCTGGGAATATGACTAGGACTATGAGGGCGACATTGTGTAGTGAGATAAAACATTGCCACGATGACCATGTCCTACTGGTCCCGGCTTTGAGTGAGTGAGCATGGTTTTACCCCGCTTTTAGCAATATTCCAGCAATATCACGGCGGGGGACACCAGAAACGGGCTTCACAGATTGAACCCGTGTCGGGTCTTCAGCGTGACGAGCGAACGCTTTAATCACTAGGCTACCCGCCTAGGCCGATAACATATTGTGCTAACGTTATCACAAAGTAGTGAATACAAAAACACATGAAGGTAATTACAGACTATTGGAACTTGAATCAGTATGCTTCTGATGATGTAAGGTTGCTCTAAATTCAGCATCCAGTAACCCGAATAGTCAGATGGGTCCGTCATACTCATGGTAAAACTGTCTCCATCAATTGCTTGTACTGCGGTGTCGCCCGGACTTGTAGAACTTTGAGATGCAGGTTTACCAGTAATGTCAACTGAAATATGCAATAAACAACGTAAACATACACAAAATAATGAGGTATGTTTCAATTATTAAATCTACAACATAACGTATAAGGCAAAATTGCTATATAGTTGTTATTTGGATGCGAACAACACATCGGTTTATCCGAAGTATCACCTTATTCGATTTCGAAGACGTAATTTCAAAGTACCAAAAACTATTTTTTCTGTGATAGACTTGCATGAAACACTAAACAAGCTTTAATGTCATTTTATCAAGTATATAACTTAACACTGCAAACAGGAATCGGCATGGGACGGAAAATCAATAAAATATTAAATTAATAAAAAAATTGAGCATCCCAGTATCATTATATTGGATCACAACAGCCCTCAGCTCCTGGAAAGAGCCAACTTATATTCGGATAACGTACAAGTTTTAAGATTCAAGATTCAAGATGCATTATTGCTAATACAACAAACTCACCAACTGTGGTACATGGACACTTGTATACAATCTTAAAATAACTAGTACATACACAGTCGAGATAACAGCTACAGATGTGTTTAATTATCTAATTTTATGTTTGGTCCAGTAATTATTAAGCAAACTGTGAGTGGTTTTGTTTTTCAGATTATTTAGTTTTGGTACATTCGATATTTCTTGGTATATTTAAAAACCTTTGTTGGTGAAGAGCTTCGCATCTAAATACATAGTGGAACTCGTCACCAAAGGAGGACACTAAAAAGTGTTACTGAATGTGTCATAATTGACCGAACGTGAACTACATGATTTAAACGTGCATAGTTTTGTTGTCAATTACTAGCAGTAACGATAATCAGATTTATTGCCTTTTAACACAAGCCATAATATCACAATTAGACATATGTAACAATTCAGTGTCCCCCATCAGATAACCAGATAAACCGATTTTCTCTTTAGTCCTGTATACTTTTGATTATTGTTGTTCTGGTATTCGTCAACGCCGAGCCACTCCGTTGACAACCCAGCGTGTTTTGAAGTGAGGCCTGTATGCTGTATGTAACTTTTTTTCTTTCTACGTTTCAGGGCATATTATGTACATGTATGTGGACGAGCGCATGCATTCGTGTGAAAAATAACGAATACACCACAAGGAACATTTTTGCGTTCATGCATATTCGAAATTATGCACATTTTATGTGTAAATAATATACAAGCGACAAAACCATTTCCATATTCACATTAGAAATCTCTGTGGAGTACAGAAGAAGAATTCAGCTTAAAACAATGTATACCGACATGAAATGATGATCAATATCTCATAGAATGATTGTGATAATGGTGTTCCGAGCAAAATTATGATTCTTTGTGTATTAGCATGTGCTTAAATTTGTAAATGTCAATTTCTATATGAGATGGTTATCTAAATAGTTTCATGAAATTAGCAGGGTCTTTTATAGGGAAGTTATCAACATCGTGTTGTGATCAAATCAATGATCAGCAATGTTGTGATTAACCCAATTTTGTTTTAATAATTATATTTATCAGCAAGTTTGTGATTAACCCAACGTTTAAAAAATATATATACATGAGCGATAGCAGCTTATTTCATTATCCCAACTTAGCTTGATAGCACAGCAGGAAAGCATAGCTGCACGTCTGTTGTTAACTCAACAGCCACAACCACCACTTCAAACCACTGCCTGTTATCTAACAAGCTTGAGCTGATTCGCTCAGCTCACTGCATGGGGATAAAAAACATTACACGAGGGCTGGTCAAAAAGTTGTAATCCTGACTATCTTTCAACTATGGGCCATAACAAAGTGAACTAGTCGTTGTATAAGTAGTTCATTATAAGAGTATTTGGTCTGTTGAGGCCGTTAGTATGGATGTTATGTATGTTAGTGACAGTTGAACGTGATTGGGGTCCAAATGGACACAGAAATGGAAAAAGACCGAGTATCGAGCAGTCATCAAGTGTTTGACTCTAGAGAAAAGTGCTCCCCAAGAAATTCATAAGTGCCCTAAATATTCCACTGTAAGCCGTTGGGTAGCTATGTTTAAGGGCCAAGTCACACATTCAGGATTTTTACTGCCGTCCTTGATACGACCATTCCCGATTAGAATTTGTTAAGTTAAACATCTTACCAACGATAGTGATGCTGAACTTTGAAGAGATAAAGCATGACGATTAGAGCTGCTATTTTTAATATTTGATTTCATAAGACGGAAAACTGCAGACCGGCATCCCGCTCCGGAACCACATCCCCCTCCTCAATACGGTTTTAATGTTTTGCTGATCTGTTTCGTTACTTTTATAAATGTCGTGCATTTTGCACAGTGAGGACTCGGTCGCACATTCAGGATTTTGATAAGACCATTCCCGATTAAAATTTGTCCAAAGTCTGATCAAGATCCTGTGATTCGTGGGGGGAAATTCACAAATAATCAGATAGTTTTTCAGGAAGCGTACCGATTAAGCCGTTTCCAGCCGAACTCGCCCCGATTCTCCCATTCTCAATCCAAATCTGATCCGATTTGTATCTTCCGCGTGGTGAAAAACGACCGGATCTGTCCCGACAGCGTCCCGATTCCCCCGAATGCGATCCGACAGAGATCAGACAGTGACTGGACAGTGAACCGACAAAGACATGCTGACTGCTTGAGTTCTACAACTTCATGACAATGCCTTGCAAATGCTGCTGTGCAACAATGCAGGTTCTAAGAGCTTCCCGACACTCCATACTCGCCAGACCCGGGACCAAGAACTAAGAGTGAGTGAGTGAGTACGGTTTTACGCCGCTTTTAGCAATATTCCAGCAATATCACGGCGGGGGACACCAGAAATGGGCTTCACACATTGTACCCATGTCGGGAATCGAACCCGGGTCTTCGACGTGACGAGCGAACGCTTTAACCACTAGGCTACCCGACCGCCCCAAAGAACTAAGAACCAAGTATTAGTATAAGAACACCTTCGTGGAAAGCGCTATGGCGACAACGATGAACTCAAAGCTGTCGTTAATGGGTTTTTCAGGGCGGCCTCAAAAACCTCTTCCTGACTGGAATTGAAAAGCTTCCCTATCGATATGAGAAGTGTAATGGAAAGCGGGGAGATTATATTGTAAAATGAAACAAAAAGACACTTTTTAAAAAAAATGGTTTTGTTCGTTAGGCTTAGACTTAGAGTTAGACTTTTTTTTTACCAGTCCACGTACAGTCAACAATATTTGAGACTTACCCATGGACAACTGTACTTCCGCCACTTCAAGAACTCCTATTTCAGCAATAGCCAGAGGTGGCACGTTGGTAGTGACACGGATGTGACGTGCGGGAAACAACCTCTGACAGGTGATCCTCGTGGTACCATTGCCGATATTCTGGCCGCACAGGAAAGTTCTGGCAGAATGAAACTCCGAATCCCTGGAGAGAGAAATTGTTCTGTTCTCGTTCCCAGTTGATTCTGAAAAACAAAAAAAATAGTAGTGGGTAAATGAATGTGTTTACGCTGCTTTGAACAAAATTAAATTTAGATATGCCGCTTAATGTGGGAGGAAGGCTCAAAGTTACAACCATTTTGATGAACACCACGGGTGTGATTTGTAACTGGGATTCAAAATCATAGTTCATCGGATGACGAGGGATGCGAGTTTGACTAAACAATGTTATTTACGACAAATATTTTATAAATGGCTGCCAGTCTATTCAGTCTCATCTTCCAAAATATTTTTTCAAATAAATTTGAGTTTATCTAGTTATACGAGTGAGAACTTAAGGGTTGTGGTGCCCAAGTGAATCTATACACACACTTAACTATGGTTTTGAATGACGTATGATTTCGCATCAATAATAATGCAGTCGTATGGCGACATATCGTGAAAGGTGAGTGAGTGAGTGAGTGTTACTGCTGCTTTCAGTCATATCACTGATCTTGGAGGAAAACAAGAAGTGATGAAGGTGTTAGGTGCGGTGAAATAGGGTATAACGTCGCGTTTAAGATTACTGCACTTATATAGCGACGAGAATGCACGCGTGTGTGTATGACTGCTTGTACAAGATTTAATTGTGTTAGCCCACTGAGATACCATCCTTGCACGGATACCCCACTCAGACAAAGTATAACGTCTCTTATCAGTTCTTGTTTCAGCCCCTTAATGCCGAGCTCCATGCAGGGTAACAACAAGAAATATATTTTAACGTCTGACGAAGTCGGGGATCGTACCCCGAACCTTCCACTCACCGGGCAGATGCTCTATTCACTAGACCACGGATGCGGTAGCAGGTCTTAGGGATGTACCACTTAGGGACACCCTGAAGCATGGGTATGGTACTGACAAACCTGGTCATATAATCAGGGAGAACCTGGGATGCGATATATATTTCTTTCTGGCAAGATACGCTGCTCTGCACAGCAAACACTTTACTATGGAGAATTAAACGAAAAAATAGGAAATAAAAGGTTACACATTCATAGTCTTTGCCTTTTTGTAGGTGATCCATATATAGGAAAGACGTTCATCTCATCAGTACTTTATCATATACATGTGCATGTCTTGCAGTGTGCAACTGATCACAATCGCAGATTTACGTGTCTGGAGATTTTGCGACATTACATTGATGACGTTACAATAGTACTGTGACGCCTCACCGAGGTTGACGTGATTGGTCTCTAACATTGATTGGCATCAAAACCAGATCTTATGCCCGACCGAAAAGATTGTCGCAATTATTTGCTCAAGGTATCTGTGGGAGGGTGATACGCTTTTGTCGATTCCAGGTATATCACGGCGTGTCAGCTTAATGTGGGAGGAAAGCCCGAAGTGATGCCGGTCTCAGACGTTTACCACTTCGATGAAACCAATTATGATCCTTGGTATATATTCACTTTATCCGTGCTTCCGGGTTAAACCAATATGGTAAACGTCCACAACTGTGTCACTGTAGGCCTTGTTCCCACATCAACCTGACATATCAATAACATTAAAAAAATATGTATGAATGCAGTTTCAAACATTTACTCGTCCATTTAAACATTGTGTATGTAGGGAGCGTAGAGGGCTCACAGTTTGTATGGGGATGTCCTTGTTTGAATGAGTGAGTGAGTGAGTTGGGTTTAACGCCGCTTTTAACAATATTACAGTTATATCACGGCGTGTCAGCTTTATGGGTGAGGAACGCCCGAAGTGATGCAGGTCTCAGACGTTTACCATTTCGACGAAACCCACGAGCACGGGTATGGGGCCGACAAACCCAGAAACATAATCGGGGCAAACCGGGATTCGAACCCACTGTTATAGATTTCTGGGTGGCCAAAGGACGCAACTCTGCACAGCGAATCGCGGCGCCTTAGACGACTGGGCCACCCGTGCCCACACATCCATCAGATAAGTGGATATACAAATATGATTACCATCTGGGAAGTGAATAGTTATTTGTTTGACGTCGTAGTTATTTTCCAAATCAATTTGCCAGTAGGCTTCCCCGGCTACGGCAGCGTCGCTCTCAAAGGATGTAGCCAAGTTTCGATCAACCGCACGTTCTGCATATGAACCGGATGCTACTGAACTCGTCATCAGTGGCCTTCTCTGTAGGATTACTGTAACAAAACAAGAAAAGCCAAAATAGAAGTCACATCTAAAAGGTGTCCTTCACAGCTCGGCTTCCGTGATAGAATTGGAACATGAACACTAATTTTGCACTTTTTTCTGAACCTTTCGTGTCATGAAACCAAGTTTCATCCAAAGTACAATTTTCGGATGAACTAGTATGAAAAGACTGACAATTGATATGCCTAACAATCAAAACGTAGGGCTAGAAAATTAGTAGCTTCAGTGAGTGAGTCAGTTACGTTTAACGCCGCTTTTAACACTATTCCAGTTATAACACGGCGTGTCAGATTAATATGTTAGGAAAGCCCGAAGTGATGCAGGTCTCAGACGTTTACCACTTCGGTGAAACCCACGAGCACGGGTATGGTGCTGACTAAAACTGGAAACAAAACTTCGAACCCACAATCATAGGTTTCTGGCGTGGCCAAGTGACGCAACTCTGGACAGCGAATATCTGCGCCTGAGACGAATCCCGGTTCGCCCCGATTATGTGTCTAGGTTTGTCAGCACCATACCCGTGCTCGTGGGTTTCACCGAAGTTGTAAACGTCCAAGACCTGCATCACTTCTGGCTTTCCTCGCACATTAAGCTGACACGCCGTGATATAACTGGAATAATGTTAAAAGAGGCGTTAAACCCAACTCATTCACTCACTTACTAGTATTAAGTAGGACAATAGGGAAAAAACATAATTTTGTTATTGCGGTCGAAATAAGTATGTTTTACTCTATTAGTTTAATGTAAGATCGCAAGTGCAAAAATAACGAAACTCAGTTAAAGGACATGACTCGCTGAAGGGCAGTGTTTTAGTATGCAAACATACTAATAGTTGGGACTCCTTAAGAACAAGGTATGAACTCGTTGACCGTCTCTTTGTTTAACAATCTCATGCAATTTTGATTTATCACGATTCAATTAGGTTTCTAGTCATCCGATGTCGGGTCTTCTCAAAACGTTAGTGTAACGACGTGTTCAATGAAAACTCAATGGAACTCGGTTTATATATTTGTCTCAACGATGGCTGAGCATTTCCAAAACTGTAATATACTAAAATTAATGTTGATAATGACAGCATTGACAGTAACTGACAGTCATTTTCAAACGCAAACACTATCATATCTTGCAAACAGCAATTGACAATGTGTTCGTGCTACGTGAGCGTTAGTTATGTGGTAAACGCATAAACACTGCAACATAAATAGATATACACAGCGACCAAGGGGTACAGGAAACAGGTCAACAAATAGGTATATACACAACAGCAAAGATATATTTTCACTGCATATTTAAATTGTTTTCAAAATAAGTAAATAATATCATAATATGTACTCAAAATAAAGAGACTCCCTGGGCTCTTCATCTGAATTGTAAGAAGATATTTCTTAACAAAATGTCAGCTGAACCGATTGCCGTATTTAATTTCAGAGATCCAAGTTTAGTCTATGAACTGACGTTACAGCTATTGTTGCTCGAATACATGACACACTGTCAAGCTAACATAAAAGGTGCACCCACATCGTGTTTCACATCACGTCAAATTCTGACTATCGGATCCGCGCGACCTTGCATTGCACTTGTTTGTTTTTTCCTTCTCTTTCATTTACATGCATAACTAATCATGTTAAAAATAAACACAGTATATTGACGTTGTTGTGTCTGCTGCTATGACCACAAATTATGCTAAAGTTGATCATCAAAGCCTATGGAAACAGATCTTGCAGCAAAACTGTCCCTAGCTCGTCTGTGGGCCACTTTCCTGATTCTGTAAATGCTTTTCTTGTAAACGGTTGTCAGTAGCCCAGATATATAAATTTAGTGTTATAAGTAGCGCTTTCAGTATCCACCGAGTGAAAGGAGGCTAGAAATATGAGTACATAATAAAAAAATAATATTAATACTAATAATAATTATAATAATAATAATAATAATTAAAAAAACTTTGGAGCTCTTCATGTTAGAATTGTTTTGTGCACTTTTGCACACATTTATTTATCTGATGATCTTCTTGTGAAGCATGTCAAGACTCATGATGAAAACAAGGCATTCCACAGTTTTCTAAAACGAGCCAAGGATGTGGGACATAATCCCAATGTCGGTGTTGATTTTGTTGATGGTTCTTTACTGCTGGACGGTACAGAAATGAGTGTCAACCAAGCGAAGTGCCATATCAAGTCGGCCCAGACTCAGTTTTTCAAGGAGAGGCTATCTGAACGACCTCTGCATCGAGTTTATGTACAGTGTGTTGAGAGGAAAAACATGGCAAATATGCAGTCCTCGCTTACGAAATGTCACGAAAAGTACTACACTGTCCATCTCCCCATTGTTCTTGGTGCCTTAGGTTTGGTACCTCCCAAACTGTTGACTGACACTGGTAGAGTACCCGGGTTTGCTACCAGGAGTACAGCCCTTCTGACACTCTGGATAATGCAGAAGGCTGTAGTATTGGGAAGTCTCCAAATTCTCCGAAAAGTTTTGGATTGGTTTGACTTGGCAGCGCTTCCTGAGAGAAGTCCCATGTCTCTGTCTGGGCTGCGTGTAGAGGGAGCAAGGGCCCTGAGCTGATGATGTTTTGTTTGTTTGTTGTTTACCTTTATCTGAGTTTTCAACACATGTTCACAAGCATTTGTATCTGATTAAATCATACAGGTTCGTGTTTGTGGACTTTGTTTTACTTTTGATATGGTCCACCTGGTTAGAACACACTTGTTGTGACGTGAAGAGCCAGTAAACCTATTTTTGTTCCTTTTAATATATTTATATGATTAGTCTTTAGCAATATATTAGTTTCGACGATTGCTTTATATCTTTCTGGTTATTATCTGCCCACAGTGAATGAATGAGTTTTAAAGTGCAGAAAAAAGAGAGTGTGAAAGGCCTGTTGAAACGTCCCGATCATGCTGTGTGACTAAATTGAGGCAGTTATAGCAACCCAATTACCAATTGAGATCGTGATGATCCAGGTTAGAACCAGCCTTCTGCAACTCACGCTTGTCGTAAGAGGCGACTAACCGGATCAGGTGGTCAGGCTCGCTGGCTTGGTGGATGCATGTCATCGTATTCAAATTGCGTGGATCAATGCTCATGATGTGAATCACTGGATATCTGGTCCAGACTCGATTACTCACAGACCACCGTCATATAGCTGGAATGTTGCTGAGTGCGTCGTTAAACAACAAACAAGCAAACAATGACCAATTTAAGAGCAGTTAATTATACAGTTACACAAGCCTTTGCAAATATTAGACATTTACAAATCCCAACAGAAATGTGAATCTCTGTCAAGAGGTTCGTATCATGTCTCTTATACGAAGCGACTGCAAATAAGATGGATTATGTTTTATTTATTGAATCGATAACTGTATATAGTATGCGTTGGTTGTCCTAAACATTCGTTGTTCAGCAGACACTCTTTGTGTTCTATCTGGTTACAGTGTTATGAGCATGACAAAAAGGCAGGATAATAATAATCCACCCCCATTTCGACTGTTCTCTTCCCTCCTCTTATCGGCAACTTCCTCGGCAGGTTCTTCTTCTCAATTTCCTTTCACGATCTTTCTTCTGTATTACGTTCTGTCTCACCTTCCCTTAGGAAAAGGTTTGTCGCTTTTATCTACTAGTAAATGGTTTTCTCCACTTGAATTCCTTTTTGTACTTTTAATTATATGTTTGTAATATGAATGTAGTGCTTGAAACGTTTGTCTTAACTTTAGGATCTATTGAAGATTAGTTGTTTTGAGTTTGACGCAGCTATGATTATTTCACTTATATCCCAAAGTGCCATGTAAACGTCTGTCAGAAATAAGGCAAGGAGCCTGACAATCTAAGTCCCGGTACGGAGGAAAGTAACTATGCTGAGCACATTTTCCCTACAACAAGCGTGGTTCATATTCAGACGAGGAAGTTTACATATTGTTACCAATTTAAGCTAACTTGATTTCACTGCGACCGCATGTTTTAGCCTGGTGTTAGACTTAGCTTAAGATACATTTTATTGTCTTAACATTTGAATCTTACGTTAGTGTTAATCGTCACAAATGGATAATTGTCTGTCAGTATCAATTCATTTATCGTACCTCCATGTCGGAATGAGATCTGATTGGTCCACGTGATCTTTATGAAATACTATGCATCCCGCCTGCGAGGGAAATAAATTTCTGAGAAGGACAATTAATGCCTCATACCCCCGACGAAGACAACAGGCTCACGTGGATTTCTCAGCAGCAGAATGAATCCATTAAACCATGCTTCAAAGTTAAAAGCCTTTTCAGAGCTTTTCGAAGCTTTTTCAGAGTTAATACAATTTACGCGACAAAGCACAAGATCAACTGACAAGTGTTTTTTTTATGAAGTTTGAAATTAATTTAATTCTTTCATAATTAAAAATTAAATAATGCCGGCGAGATTAACTCGTTGTAGCAGTATCACTTGGGGTACATGAGGTTTTATCCTTTCCTCGTTAGGTTTGATACCACTCGCCTCCGGCTCGTGGTATAAAACTTAACGTGGGACGCCTCCGGCTCGTAGTATAAAACCTAATATTCGGAGCACTAAACCTAACGTGCGACGTCTCCGGCTCGTGGTACAAAACCTTACGTGTGACGCCTCTGATTTTTGGTACAAAAACCTAACGTGGGACGCCTCCGGTTCGTGGTACAAAACCTAAAGCGGGATGCCTCCGGTTCGTGGAAAAAAACCTTACGTGTGGCGCGAAGGGCTCCTGGTACAGAACCTAACGCGGGACGCCTCCGGTTCGTGATATAAAACCTAACCTGGGACGCCTCCGGTTCGTGGTACAAAACCAAACGAAGGAAGCCTCCGGTTCGTGGTCTAAAACCTTACGTTGGACGCCTCCGGTTCGTGGTACAAAACCTAAAGCGGGATGCCTCCGGTTCGTGGAAAAAAACCTTACGTGTGGCGCCAAGGGCTCCTGGCCATGGTACAGAACCTAACGCGGGACGCCTCCGGTTCGTGATACAAA